AGTTGAGCCCGTGAGCTCACGTACCCGTCCACGAGAAACCGGAATAGCCTCTTAGGCTACCAGCGAATAGGTAGGGAATAAAGGTAATTCCTAGTTAAGACCAGTTAAATTGTTATAAAATTTATAACCGTAATACCGACTCCCATGGAGTTATTAAGAGTCTTGTGCCTACAGCACGTCAGTATTGTCTGTATTATTCTAAGAAAAGGACGTGTCCACAGAAAGAAAAAGAAAAAGAAAACAGTGCTGTACATGGTATATGTTTGTGGAGCCGTCCAAATATGGTAAACGAATATTGTTAATTAAACAGGTAATAGTGTTCTGTGGACACGTCCTATTATTACAATAATACAGACAATACTGACGTGCTGTAGGCACAGTATCGTAAATATTTCCTGTGGTTTCACCACAATAGTTATGTGACCATGAACCAGCAGTGGAGCGAAATATGTTTTCTTTTTTTTTAAATTAAAATAATTGGGGTAAACCAAAACATGGGTAATTTTTATTAATCTAAAAGCAGCTTAGCGAATTGCATTAGAATGAGAGTGTAGAGTATTATAGCCCTTTTTCAGAATTAGAATTTATTTTCAAATTATATGTAACTATCAACATAAAATAACTATTTTATTTGTTGTTTATGAATTTAACATAATTGCATCTCTATTTTAATGAATATAGTATATTTAATAATAATAAAAAACATTTTGGTGTTTTATTGAATGTTACATTCGTTGCATTTATACCCCTGTTAAAATGATGTTGAATTCTATGTTTTTATTAATTTTAAAGGCGCCATTCTAAACAGTGCCATGATTGCTTTCGTAGACAACAAAAAGCTATAAACATATAAAATTTAGAAAAGAATTTGTTTAAATATAGAATAATAATAAAATATTTCGTTGTACATTTTTTTTAATAAAATTGCCACCTCTATTTCGTAAATTGAACTACTTCTGAACTCGGCAAGTTCATTGGCAATCTAATATAAACAATCTAAATTTATGGAAATGATTCCACCTGCATATAATTTGAAATAAATAACAAGAGTGTTTTGACTTGAAATGTGAGTACACTTTTTATTCTTAGAATCATTCTTCTATACTAATATTATAAAGAGGAAAGATTTGTTTGTTTGTTTGTTTCGAATAGGCTCCGAAACTACTGGACCGATTTGAAAAAATCTTTTTCCATTAGAAGCCGACATTGTCCCTGATGAACATTTTGTTTCATGTGTGTTTTAATGTTTCCGAAGCGAAGCGAGGGCGGGTCGCTAGTGTTGATATAAATTTGATTTTATTACCAATGGACACAATTTCTCAAACAACATAATATGTAATCAAAAATATACATTATCAACGGAATCAGTTCAGTATGTTCAAACAAACTAAGACTAAATAGATATTTTTTTGGCTGAATCTTTAAAATTCAATACGATTACAGAATAATAAAATTATAGACAAGACATTAGAATTTAAAAATACTTTTATGTATTTTATATATTGAATCCTACTCTATTTCCTGTAGCATATTTGATTGTGTAAGCCATGCCGATACCAATGCTAAAGAATTTCAATGAATACTCATGAAAACTTAGTAACCCTATTATTCTAATCCGGTGAGTCTATACTTAGCTTTATAATTATACCATCCGGCTATGGAATGAGCTCCCCTCCACGCGTTTTCCGAGCGCTATGACATGTCCTTCTTCAGACGAGGCTTGTGGAGAGTATTAAGCGGAGCAGCGGCTTGGCTCTGCCCCTGGCATTGCTGACGTCCATGAGCGATGGTAACCACTTACCATTATGTGGTCCGTATGCTCGTCTGCCTACAAGGGCAATAAAAAAAAAAGGTTTTCATGACTATCCCAAAATCCGGACCTACTCACCGAATATGATGTAACCGACATCCTTACTATGTGATATGACCTAGACGAGTTCATAGGGCCCATAGACTTTAACACAAACATCATCGAATTATTTTAAGCTTTCGCTTATATTTCAATTATACACACTGTTAAACTTAACGGGTTGTCATACCCTAACTGTATATTGTCAAGGCGAGTCATTGAATTTAGTAACACTCAAAGACGGACCAAAAAGAAAGTAAAGACGTTTATCTACTCTTGAGATTTTACCTGCCATTTTCCCGTGGTAAAAATCCGTCAAATAACAGTGTATACAAATTAATATCTTAGCCCAACGAGCGATACGTTTTCAAACTTATTAACTTTGAAGATTTTTTTATCTTCCAAATTGGAACACACGAATACCCACCCACCCACGAAACTGATACCGATTCATGTATACTCAAATCATGCCCAATAGCAATATTTAAACCAAAAAAATGCAAATACTGCAGAAAGCGTGTTTGAAGAATGGGTGAATAGTTATTTAGAAATATATTGGTGGCTTCTCTCTTTTGACAACAAGTATCACACGTTCTGCTTATTAGGCCACGGATGCTATTTTTATTTCATTTTACAATTTCCTACTTTTCGAAGACTTTTCAGGGCTTCAAGGCAATCGAATTCATTCTTAAGGACAACTTCTATAATTTCTTAAAATATTTGAAAACCCATTTTTTTAATGTATTCAATTTCAATTCAGATTCAATATACATTGCTGCACGTGTTCACCCAAAACGACGGTCGAAGCCTTAGGTGTATTGGATTGTACCATAAATATTCACTCTTCAAGCTGGAAGGTTTCGCGGCAGAAATAAGCATAAAGTTGGTACCAAACCAATAACAACACGTCTAACCAGCACTAATTACTGATAGTCTGACCGATAGTGGTAGTGGTCTGGATAGTGATAGTAATTAATGGTAATAATCCAGATTGAGATTTTCAAATCTTTTCAGCTGTCTCACAATACCTGGCTAATTTCGAACGTGACATGACAAAAAAATCCTTTCGCCACAAACGCATTTCGTCGCCTCTAATGAACTGAAGGTCTTAATTAAAACAAGCGAAGCGTCACGACTTAATTATAATACTACGAACGGATCTTTCTCAACGGCTTCCGGTAATGGAGCGAATGAAGAACGGGTCGAGAAGAAAAAAAATGATTAATTAACACCGACTACACGATACACACTTTCTTCTTTCAAACATTAAAAGTGCTTCAGGCAAATTAAAGTGTAGTCCCACTCTTTCTGATTCATCATCTCTAGACTGTGTGGTTTTTTACTGTACTTAAACGTATTGTTAAAGTAGGTAATGTAAATTAAAATAGTAATGTAGACAGTCAGATAACTTGGACAAAGTGATTGTGACGGGCAAAGTAGAAGGAAAGAGACCCCGCGGCCGATTACCCAACCGTTGGTGTGATCAAGTAACCGCTCTAACTGGGTTGCCAGTCGCAACCGCCATCGAGCAGCTGAGGACCGGACGAGATGGAAACAGCTCACGAGACAGGCAACGGTCAAGTTTCAGGGACACGACCTTCAGCAATGAAGAAAGCGACGAAGAAGAAAAAGAAGTAAAGTAAAGAAGTAATTTACAGTGAAGAAGTAATGTACAGTAAAGAAGTAATGTAACGTATTCATTCGGGTCGGAAGATGAAATTGGTAAAACGTGCAAAGACTATTTAAACTAAAATCCCCAGGTTCTTACGTAATTAGAACATTCGTGAGATAATTTCGCGCGACGGATACACTCTCATTTGTCGTATCACTCTTGTCAGAGCGGTCGTGGTCGTTATTCAGTATCATTGCTGTGGGCAGATGTTGTGCGCCTCACGAGCAATCTCCACTTCTTCTGGTTTGTGATAAGCCGGTACACTCATGCAAACAGCCGCTAACTGCCGACTTGACTTGGTGGGTCCATCGCATGGGCAACCTTCTATACCGATACAGTACTTTTTTTCTTATTGCCCTTGTTGGCAAATGAACATACGGCCCACCTGATGGTGAGTGGTTACCGTCGCCCATGGACTTCAGCAATGCCAGGGGCAGAGCCAAGGCGCTGCCTACCGCTTAATACTCTCCACAAGCCTCGATTGAAGAAGGACATGTCATAGCGCTCGGGAAACACCGTGGAGGGGAGCTCATTCCATAGTCGGATGGTACGTGGCAAAAAAGACCTCTGGAAACGCACTGTCAATGAACGCAGCGGTTCCGGATAAAATGGATGTACTCTGCTCCAATGGCGGGAGGTGTGATGATAAAAAGGAGATGAGGGGATCATCTCAAACAATTCCTCAGAGCACTCCCCATGGAATATACGGTTAAAAGTGCTTCATCAAATGTTAAAAGTGCTTCAGGCAAATTCTAGTGTAGTCCGACTGTTTCTGAATCTTCATCTGTAGATTGTCTTTTTTTTTACCGCACTTAAATACATTGTTCAAGTAAACAAGTAATGTAACGTAAAGAATTAATGTAAAGCAAAGTTTTTAATTTTTTTTTAATTCGGCTCTGATGATGAAATTGGTAAAAAAAAACCAATGACTGTCCAGTCGAGAAATGGTCGTGCGAAATTTTTTTAAACTAAAATTATCCTCAGGTTCGTGGGTAATAAATTTTTTTAATTGCTTAGATGGGTGGACGAGCTCACAGCCCACCTGGTGTTAAGTGGTTACTGGAGCCCATAGACATCTGCAACGCAAATGCGCCACCCACATTGAGATATAAGTTCTAAGATCTCAGTATAGTTACAACGGCTGCCTCGCTCTTCAAACTGAAACGCATTACTGCTACACGGCAGAAACAGGCAGGGTGATGGTACCTATCCGCGCGGACTCACAAGAGGTCCTACCACCAGTAAAAAATTAGAACATTTGTGAGATAGTTTCGCGTCACGGCTACATTCTGTACACTGGATTTATTTAATAAGTACCACTATTGTATTTGAGTTTTAAAATATGATGGTAAAGTAAGCATTGTTCTATCGATTGCTGCCAAGAAATCTTACGTTACATTTTAAAGAATGGGAGAGCTAATCAGGGGAGCTAATCAGAGAGCTGCTCAGGCAGGCAATCAGGCAGGAGAGCTAATGCAAGGAAACTTCAAATTGGTGTCGCAACGCGTGTCGCAAACCCCATAAGATGGCTTGTGGTTCGCTTATAACCAAACTTACCGTGAGCCCGTCGTAACTTTCAAAATAATTCAGTTTAGTTGCAATTAATTAATACAAAAAATATTATCTGTTTCAAATCTGAAACCGTTTTATTCATTGAATGAATTGTGATGTTCCAATACTATATTATGTGATGTGAATAAACTCCATACGATATCCACCCACTTTTACTTAAGACGTGAGGTTGAAGATTTAGTTATGTATAATAAATAGTAGTACAACGGACCTCCCACTCTTCAAGTCGGACCGACTTCGCGACTGAAATATCGAGGACTCATAATACACCCCCTACCACGAGTAAAATAAATCATCGTTTTTTTTTGTACGCATTCAAATTGAATATTAAATCAAATTAGTATTAATGAAGAATGCTTCTTTAATTGACCACGCGAATAAGGACGTTGTTTATTTTCGATTCAAAACAAGTGTAGCTGTCGCTTACAAATAACATATACGTCATCACAAATATATTTAATATTCATTTACAAATACTAACACATTTAAATCTACATATACGCCTAAAATACCACAGCCTTGAAGGCTACCAATATTAATAGGGTGTTCGCATTTGCGATTTATAAATTGCGACTGCGTAAAACTTACTTTTACTTAGTCATTATCGACGACGTGTCAACCCTATGTTGTGTACTGCTGAACATAGGGCTAGCAGAATTCACGAGAGACAAGTAATTTCGTTATTTAAGAATCAACAGCCGCAGAATAAAAATCGGATATGCAAGCACATTCTTAACATTACTAAAGAGAGTTGACGAAACAGCATGCTATAGGAATAAATAGTTTAGAAGGATATTTTTAGTAGGAATATATTTTTTTTAAACATTTCGATACTTGGCTCATACGACGCTAGGACATTTTGGGAGACCAGTTCATATTCCCCAAGCAACGTGTCTTCGCGACAATCTAAGCATATCGATTTAGTCGGAGCTAAATTTTCAAAAACCTTCTATGACGTCATAGGCTTCCAAGCCAGACATGATTAGATAGATTAGCCACAGGGAAAAGAAGAACATGGAAGTTACGATCTTGATGCCGCGTGGTCCGCCGAGCTCCCCGCCAATACTTCGACGTCTTCTCAGCACCAGGACAAGGACGGCTAGAGCGGCTTCCGAACAGAACATCGTGACGCTGAAGGCTAGGCTACAGAAGGATATAAACATAATGTAGTTCTTTTATTTCAGTCCAACTATCTAAGAAAATCCATCGGACAAACAAAATTATTCCTGATGTTAAGTAGCTACTGGAGCCCATAGAGATCTACAACGTAAATGCGTCACCCATCTTGAGATATAAGTACTAAGGTCTCAGTATAGTTACAACGGCTACCCCACCCTTCGAATCGAAACGCATTACTGCTTCAGGGCAGTAATAGGCGGGGTGATGGTACCTACCCGTGCGAACTCACCAGAGGTCCTTACCACCAGTAACACAAAGTTTATCTGATAAACAAAAATTATTTCATACAATAAAAAAACTAGATTGAAGGACCTCATAAAATTTTCACTAAAAATGTAGAAGGAAGTGGTGTTTGGAAACGAAGTCATGATTTTCACAAACCTCACGACGTAAATGTCACCACGCACCTTAGAATATGATGTCCAATTCTCGATTATTATTATTTTACTTATATACTGCGTAGACAGGTGGATAAGTACACAACCCACCTGGTGTTAAGTATTTAACGGAGCTCATAGATTATAAGCCACGTCAATACCCATCTTGCGACATGAGTTTTAAGTCTCAGTTTTAACAATGCAACGGCTGCCCCACCCTTCAAACCGAAACCCCATTACGGTTTCACAAGATGCTCTACCTCTGGTAAAGATGCCTTCAACACTTTTCTAGCCACTACTACTACTAAGGGACGAAACAGTTCTTGTATCGAAGTAATTGACCCCTTTGAGCTCCAATGATCATTTATCGACAATTGAAGCGTCATCTTCCAATCTATATCTAATTTATACTAATATATAAATCTACAGTGGTTTTTACGGATGTTCCGTTATAATTACTGAACCATGCATCCGATTGAATTGAAACTTGGTATCCACGTAGAAAATACATGTACTTAATGGATAGGCTAATATTTATATAAGTGTTGGACTCCCTACACCAGTTGCGGGGGCGTTAATGATGAGAATCTTTGTGGGGATGAGAAATAATATTGTTAATTTTAAATGCCCAGCGAAGCGGACGGGTACAGCTAGTCTATAATAAACACATCAACAACGAAAATCCTGCGATATATCCCGTGATTTTATTGTAAATCTTCGATACTCACTTCCCAGGGTCCACGTGGAACTTCTCGTTCTTACTCCAGTGGAAGATGGCGGCCACCGTCCACGCGACGCCGATACCAAGGAATACGTTCACAGCATTAGAGCCGGTCACGTTGCCAACAGAAGCATCCGCGTGCTTATCTTGGATAGCGGCCACTTTACTCGCAAACGTGTCTAAGAAAATATATAGGGGTGCCTTCAATTGCCTAAGTGGATTGTTAGTTAGGGTATTTACTCTCAACTAGAAAACCAGGGTTTCGTATTTTTATCTTTAGTCGCATGTAATAAGGCTGTGTGTTGTGTGCTTGCCTGTCGATATTAGCTGAATACATTATGTCGATAAAAAAATCCTTATGACCCCATAAACAAATTTTTTCGGCCACCTTCTCGGTGATAGACGTCTTTAGAATATAGGTATTTAATTCAAATTTGGTATTCCAAATATCAGAATCAGGTGTTTTATTCTTCTTTTAGACATCATTTTAGACATAGATTGTCCATCCAGTAATTTTTAAACTTATTAGTTGGTAAACAATATCGTGTCTCATCTAGGTGAGACATGATATTGTTTCTTGTATCTGGTTTGTAAAATATAATGAATCACATGGATTCAGTATGAATGCCTTCTTCAGACAGAGGTGAAAGTCCTCCTGGAATTGTGTATTAATCTGATTATCCAACTAATTATTTCGCATCAAATACATAATTATGTAAAGTGTGTATAATAAATATGTGGTATTCACACTTATGATTCATTGTACTAGGAGAATCGAAAAGTAGTGAGAATAAGATAGAACATAATGACTATCGATAACTAAATAATTTATTTTTCTACATAGTCTTCGAATTTCTCTACACACCGACTCCAGCGCTTTTCTTAGACTTCAAATCCCTTTCAAAAAAAAAGTTTTGTCTTGGTCGTGAAAAAAGCTCTCCACGGCATCCATCACCTCGTTATCGTCTTCGTACCTGTTTCCCCTTAAGTATTCTTTCAATTTACTAAGGAGTGAGTCATTCTCACTACTTTTTGATCTCGTATAATAAATTTCAGTAAAATTTGGTAGTAATTAGGAAGGGAGACCAGGATACTATAGATGATACTACTGGTACTATATATGATGAAAATGTTGCAGTTCGTGTTTATCAGAATCGCGTATCCGGATAGAAAATTTCAGTTTCGGATCCTCTGAAATCAATATATCAAAGAACTAAAGGCTTCGTCAAACAGAACGCGTAATTAGCGCGCGTCAGAGCGTTAAACTGACAGCGCGCTATGACGCCAAGATGTGTTGTACTACTATGGTATACCGTCAAACAGAGCCCCAGCGCTATAAGTACGCAACGCTCTGTCGCGGCGTTAGGACGCTTTGACGTCAGGCGTTGTAATTATTTACAAATTTTATTTTAGCGTCCGAGTGAATGTGTATTAAAATACTGGATAATGCCCGAAAAATTGATAGAATTAGTTAGGAAATACCCATGTTTATACAATGCCACATCTGAATCACTCGAGATCTTAATACTTTTAAATTTTCACATTGCTATCGAAAGGCGCTATGAATTGGCGTTACGTTGCGTCAAGGAGCGTTGGGCTCATCTAGTCAATTTGTGTGACATGAAAAGAGCGCAATGTTAAAACGCGGCGCTAAGTACCCGTTCTGTTTGACGAAGACTTAAGAAAAAGAAAAAAAAAAGACACGTACCAGGAATACTCGTGCCCAAAGCCACAAATACGATGGCTGTGACAGAATCCTTGATGCCAAGAGTACAGCCGAAGTGTGACGCGACATCTCCAATCACAGCCGTCACCAGGCCGATGCAAATTATCGAAACCACAAAGCAGACGTAGCCACCGCCGATGTCTGAATAAAGTTAATCGAGTTAGACACTTCAAAGAAACTAAGATAATTATTAAAGATTCGTTTGTATTATAGAAAATATGTTGGGTTAAAATTACAATGTTCAAAATTACAAAATTAAAATGTTCGATGGAGAGTGCTCTGAGGAATTGTTAGAGATGATACCGGCATCTCGTTTTTACCATCGCACCGCCCGCCACCGGAGTAGAATCCATACTACCTGGAGCCACTGCGGTCATCCACAGTGCGTTTACAGAGGTCTTTTTTGCCACGTACCATCCGACTATGGAATGAGCTCCTCTCTACGGTGTTTCCCGAGCGCTATGACATGTCCTTCTTCAAACGAGGCTTGTGGAGAGTAAGTATTGAGCGGTAGGCAGCGGGTTGGCTCTGCCCCTGGCATTGTTGAAGTCCATGGGCGACGGTGACCACTCACGATCAGGTGAGCCGTATGCTCGTCTGTCTACAAGGCAATAAAAAAAAAACTAATCCTTAAATTTTTTGAAGATTTTTTTTTATAAAGCCTACGTATCCGAAAATACAGCTCATTAGATGGTGATTGGGAGCTATCACTCTTCAATCTCTGGAGTGTCGGTGGCACCACCTGGTCACTGTGTTACAGCACACAGAAAATACCCTGGAAGAAGTTATTTACGAAGCCGGATGATAATACGTCACATAAATGATCACTTTGATGAACGCGGTCTTTCCAAGTATTGGGAGTAAACTCTGCTTCAGTAGCGCATAGTCATGATGAGAAGTGATGGCGGACGTCCAAAAGAAATACTCAGAGCATTTATTTGAGAGTGTATGATCGCACCACCTTCTAAGTTCCGAGATAAACAAAATGATCACCTGTCGGTGGTATCAAAGCGAATATGATTTTCCAGAACAAAGTGACCACGTGGAGAACGTAGTCAAAGCACGAAGGAGGCTCGTCTGGGTCGTCTGAACCTGGAAATAAATTATTAATGTTACATGAGGAATGAGGAAGACGCAAAGAGTGGTACAAAACATATAAGCTTGACCCAAAAAGTACGATATCTCTAACATAGAGAAAAGAGAGAGAGAGAGAGAGATATAGCTTATGTTATTGCACACCAAAACAGAATTATCATCAGAAAACAGTCAACAAGCAGATACGTTTGTACAATAGGCGGTACAAATCAAATGAAATCAAATAAAAAAAAAATATTCAACATAAATGAAATTACATACTTGTTGAACGTCAAAAAGAACTACCGCCAATTCACAAGAACTAGCCTCCGTCCTGAGAAGAACTGGCAAGGAACTCAGCGGGCATGTCTTTTTTTTTTAAATATTAGAGTACTTTTTTTTTAATATTAGATTTAATTTAAATATTCGTTTTTACAAGGAGTATTATTATAACGTAACAATTATTGCTATATTGAAATGCCCATAGCGAGCAACTCATTCCCACTTTGTCCAATTTTCTAGATAATCATTGACTTTATAGTAAGCTTTATTGCAAAGATGTTCTTTAATAGTTTTCTTAATCCTATGTATATGTAGGTTATGAACATCTTGTGGGATTTTGTTGTACAGGCGCACAGACAAACACCCGAACATACTAACATACCTTGTTAATAATCTATTTAAATGTGTTAGCTTTTTTCAATGTCTTATTAAATCAAATTTTAACGCGTATAAGATGAGAACGAAGTGAAAAAGGATTCTAATACAATAAAAATAATCACTTAACACACGAAATGTGAGCAAATTCGATTTCTTGTGCCGTTTTCTGCAATTTTTTGACTACACTATATGAAATACCTAGTTGTTATGTCATTTTTTTTCGGTAAAACTCGGCGACAAATGTTTCAAGAATTTATTTATGTTACAATGATTTTAAGTTATTTTTATAGCGTAGATTTTTATAGTATCACTAGCTGACCCGGCAGACTTCGTAGTGCCTCAATCGATAAATAAAGGACACATCAAGGGACACATCAAAGGAAAAACAAAATTTTTATTTAATCACGAGTATTTTCATATTTATCTAACTTTTAAACCTTCTCTGGACTTCCACAAATAATTCAAGACCAAAATTAGCCAAATCGGTCCAGCCGCTCTCGAGTTTTAGCGAGACTAACGAACAGCAATTCATTTTTATATATATAGAAGAAGAAGATAGAAGATATTCGAGCATTTAACACTAAACATACCATGACGGGTCAAATTACCCATTTTGAACTTTTGCACTGAAAATGCACGTACCATCTTATTGCTTTTGCACATTTGACTTCATGACATTTTCTTACAAATTAATCTACAGTTAAATTTTATACTATTATTTTTGTTTTGCTTTGTTTATTTTGAGTATTACTTTTTTTTAACTGATTTTATGACCTGGTAACTAAGACCTTTAAGTCATGTCTTATTTTACTTTGTATTCTTAATTTTATGAAAAATGATAATATGGAGTGAAATGAAATGAAGATGATTAATTTGAGACATTAATCAACTGGGATGAAATTTAATGAAATGAGATGATATGGGATGAAATATAATCGCAGCAAAATGGTGGTCATTTACTGAGATTTTTTCAATGGACTTTTTGGAGGAACCCGAGAAGTTACGTCCAGCAGCTTTGTTTCATTTTCCCACATTTGTGCACTTTCACAGATATTAAACAGTTAATAAACCACCATTATTACACATTTAAACCTGAAGAAACACTAAATAGACAAAATAAAACAAATCACACAACTTCACTCCTCGCGTTCCCGCCAAAAAGTCCCTTTTGAGTATTACATGTCGTATACCGTTATCTACCTGCTATGGCAGCGGTCGGGGAACTTTTTTAATTATTACCCCAAAATATTTTTGTGCATGTTGATATTACCCCATGGGGAAGAACAAAAAAAAACGAAATCGCTTCCTTTTAGCATCTTTCATATTATAGCTCCCATGATAATTTGAAATCACAACGATTCTAAAGAAGTTTCACTTCAATATATACTTTTTACTCACAAAAGTTTCATTTTTACCCCCCAAAATTTCAAGTTACCCCATTTGGGGTAATTTACCCCGGTTCCCCGACCACTGTACTATGGTATAAATAGCTACCAGTAAGTGATGGTATGATTAATGTTAATCAAGGTATTAGATGTATTTTAGTTCACACATCATTATGCACCTGAATTGGCGGTTAAGGCTTCCGCGAATTGCTCCTTCCATGAAGACGTTCCTATGATTATAGACGCGTTCGCTCTTTGCACCAATTTGTCTACTGTGTTCTGTAACAAGCAAAATGTCAATATACAATTCAAGTTAAGCCTTAAGTTTGCCTTAATATTACCCAGGTGTGGCTTGTTCTTTGGTATAAGAAAGTATCTGTGGCTTAGAGTAGACTGGCCATTGTGCCCAAATGCGAATACCCCTGTAGATGTTGTAAGTATGTAAGCACCTCTCTCCCTGCCTATTACTGCCACAAAGCAGTCATTTGTTCCGTTTTGAAGGGTGGAGTCATTATACCATACAATTGCCATTTTAACCTCAGGACATTCACATTATCAAATCTATGGACCCCGGGAATCACGTCATCATGGCATTATGATTACTTCACAGCAGAAATAGGATACCTTTGCGAGTCCGTGATTGTTAATATAAATTACGCAAAGCTGTAAATTTTTCAAGTTTTTATTAAATACGGTCGTCTTGTCTACTAAGCCACTTACTTATCAACTAATCTTTAAATGAAATGACCCAATTCGGAAGCCTTGAAATATTGGTCGATCACCTTAAATTCTTTGCTCTCCTTGATCCTAAGCTGCGCTCGTGTGATTTCCCCGGCTTTAGGGAGTCCCATCATGGCGACTACTGCTTCCTCTTCCGGCAGCGTTGCGAGATGGTTGGCTTCGGTACCAGTATTCGAATCATCGTTATCTGTAAATAGAAATTGCTTGAACACGGATTCACACTAGCATTTTTCCAGAAATTTCCAGAAATCAAGCGAACACGATTCATAAGTAAAACAATACAGGTATAGCCAATGTCATGGTCGGAAACGAGATTAACAAAGGTGGATTAAGACTTTTTTGCATTTGTGCATAATAGGAATTTGGTGCACTATTCCGAAAAAAAAACAGATAGAATGAGAGAAGCGATAGAATTTTTAATAAACTGCTTATATCAAATCCAATACCAAATAATTTTACATCCCTATTCTGAACCCGAACTGGAACGGAAGTAAGTTTGATGATCACCAACATCCGTTTAGGGAATGTTGATGAAAGAAGAAAAATATAGATTTAGATTAATTCGCGAAGCAGCTACTCTTGACTTGTTAGACCTCCCTTCGAGGCGTTCGGGTAACTGTTAGAAAATCCCACCCCTCCTAGCTGAGCCTTTACTCGCCCACCTGTCCTTGTGAAACTGGAAAGGCCTCTGGGCCACCAGTAATCCCTCAAATATAAAAAAAGAACATAGATTTGTTGCCAGTTGACGATCTGAAGACACCTTGAACCTTTATCACTTTAATGACGGACATATTACATTCAAAATCCCTGATTCAAATATGTACACCAACGAATTTCCAAAGAATTTCGCAACTCAAATAGGCGCATTTCTTTGAGAGACATTTGGAAAGTTAAATGAATTACAAGTAACAAACTCAACTACACGCTTTTTTTATTTCACCTATCAGAGATATTTGGAAAGTTAAAAGACTTGCAAGCAATAAACAGAAACTACCTACAGATACTAAATTTGCATTTGTGATGCAAAACTGCCTTGACGATGAATCATGATGCCCCTACTCTTCAGGCCGAAATCAGGACCACGTTCCTAACTGCCGTGTAAACAAAAGAAGTTAATCTGACAAGCATAAGCTTAACGATTTTTACTATTATTTCAATGGTCATAAAGCATACTTCGTAATAACCTTCTCCGTTCCACAATGTAATTCCCAAAGCTATGAGCAATTTTTGTAATCATGAATTGCAATTATAGTAAAACGTCTTATACAACAGAAATTGCTTCTCATTCATGCCTCAGAAAATAGTTAACAGCACTATGCTATCGCCCTTTTATTACTAATAAACAGCTTCATATTATGAATTAATATGCAGCTGCATATAGAGCAGTCTATAGAGAACCACTCCCGAAATCTATACTAATATATAAATCTGCAGTGGTTTTTACGAAAGTTCCGTTATAACTACTGAACCATGCATCCGATTGACTATTGTTAAGAGTAAGTGCGAAGTGGTAGTTGTCAATAAAAATATCATATATGAACTAACTCATAGTCTCACTGATAGTAAGAGACTTTTGGAAATGGAGAGGACTATCATATCGTGACATTGTTTCACATTAGAAAAGGAAAGAAGGAATAGAGTAGCTTTTAATTTGAGATTCCTCATATTGACTGGTCGTAGGACCTCTTGTGAGTCTGCGCGGGTAGGTACCACCACCCTGCCTATTTCTGCCGTGAAGCAGTAATGCGTTTCGGTTTGAAGGGTGGGGCAGCCGTTGTAACTATACTTGAGATCTTAGAACTTATATCTCAAGGTGGGTGGCGCATTTACGTCGTAGATGTCAATGGGCTTCAGTAACCACTTAACACCAAGTGGGCTGTGAGTTCGTCCACCCATCTAAGCAATAAATAAAAACAAAAAAAATATTTAAAAAGCGAACAATAGTTTTCATTCATTACATAAAAAAGTCCATCACTATTCAAAGCTCGTTTACGTAAGCCATTCGAGCTTCGCGGATGAAACGGAGCAACGTTTTCACGGCCTCCCCGGTTATTTACCGACTTTGAAAGCTCGCCGGCTCTGTATAGAGCTTTTGAATCTCTTTAATGGTTCAGATGTCAAGGTAGAGTTTTTGTTATACGCCAAACTGATGCGTATAAATAATTGTAAATAGACATGCTTTAACAAAAACCGACCTCAAATAGAAAAAAAAAGATATTCCAAAACAAATTAATATACACTAAAAACAATGCTTAATGCAAATTTAAGACTTATATGGTTTTCTCATGGATACCATTATCAGAATTGGACTAAATTAATTAAAATCGATTCACCCAGTCAAAAGTTATGAGGTAACAAACATAAAAAAAAACATACAGTCGAATTGGGAACCTTCTCCTTTTTTGAAGTCCGTTAAAAAATTGAAATTTAGTACTAATTTTTTCGTCAAATACAAAGAAGATAATCGCGCGAATATAAGTTTATAGTATAATATTGTTACGCACTGTTGTTCGGGATAAATAAAAATTCTACCGAAGTACATACAAACTAAAACTGTATTAAACACTCAGAACACTTAAGGAACACTTTAAAATTCTCAATTCGCTTCTTCCGCTTCGCATCTGGTGATCCGTTCGCTGTTTCGCTTCGAGTAGTACCGATTACTTACTGCTTTCGTGTCGTGCAACGCTTTTATAGTGTATACGACGTCCCTGGAATTATCGAGAACATTCTCGATAAGGCCAGATATGTGTTTTCGCTATTTGATAATAAATGGCATTGCAGTTGTTATTATTATTATTACTGGTGTTAGGACCTCTTGTGAGTCCGCGCGGGTAGGTACCAACGCCTTGCCTATTTCTGTCGTGAAGCTGTAATGCGTTTCGGTTTGAAGGGTGGGGCAGCCGTCGTAACTATACTTGAGACCTTAGACCTTACATCTCAATGTGGGTGGCGCATTTACGTCGTAGATATCTATGGGCTCCAGTAACCACTTAGCACCAGGTGGGCTGTGAACTCGTACACTCATCTAAGCAATAAAAAAAAAACTCTTCTTTCACTGTTTGGAAGCTACACTATTCCCGAGTGACATAGGCTATAATCTTTTTTGAAATAAACAGGGCGTGCCCTGCGAAAACTATTGATGATAGAATAAAATAATGTACTACGACTTTGTAGAACACATTATTATTTACAAAAAGTGTCGCGACAGCATGTCTAACTATTATAGTTATGCCGCAATAAGTGTTCTTTTGTTTAAAAAAATAAAACGTCGTGGAAATATTTATTAAAGACCGGAGCGGTGCCGGAGCAGGCCGCTAGTGTGTAACATTCATATAACCTATGTTATATGAATGTTACACACTAGCATAGCATATCATATAACCTTTGTTATATGAATGTTGGCACTGACAATCTTCAATGGCATTTTCGATAAAAACCATTTGCTAAATTTATCATTGGCCTTATGACCACTGACGGACATAGGCCTCTCCCAAGATTCGCCACGACGATCGTTCTACCCGGATTCAATAACTTCCTGCGACTTCCAACACGTAGTCAGTACACACTGTGGGAGGCACTACGTCATCCGGTGCACAGTAGCTACTAGAGAACTTTTTGATAGTAACGCCATTATTTTCTATGAATAGCGTACCCTACCCAGTGTCGTTTCAAGTTTTCAATACTGAATTTTGGCAAAACGCGCTAGTCAAAGAAGAGCTTTGTTGTATTTGGTATTAAAAGATTCTGCGTAGCTTTCCGAATGCTACCTACCCGAGTCGAATTCGATAGCTGACCTCTCTGTCGTTGTTGGGCTGAGCAATCTGTCGTTTCGCCCTAAGTAAACTTCCAGCTTAATCTCCGATATCGATCCAATCACATTAAATGGAATTTTGTACTCGTATTATTCACGCTTTTAAAGGCAATCATTAATATTTAATTAGCTTGCCATAAATCCTTACCACAATCACGAGTTATTGTCAAACTTGTTCACAAACAATTGTGGTTAAAACTTTTGAATTCAACGTAATTCCAATTTTGGAAGTTTTGTGCATTTAATTTTGTACGCTTTTGTGGTTAACCGCAAATTTAATTTGAATGAAGTCATTTTGGCATCGAAAATTATTTATCTATATATTAAGTGATGTATTTAAGATGTACAAAGACTGGTTTTTTGGTGAGAAATAATTTGGCGCCAAATATTAAGTGTATAATCTATGTTTGGCGCTGTCGTTATGACATGCGGGGAACGCGAGAAATGAAGTTGTGTGATTTGTTTTATTTTGTTTATTTAGTGTTTCTTCAGGTTTAAATATGTAATAACGGTGGTTTATTGACTGCTTAATATCTGTGAAAATGCACAAATGTGGGAAAATAAAACAAAGCCGCTGGACGTAACTTCTCGGGATCCTCCAAAAAATCCACTGAAAAAGTTGTAGTAAATGACCACCATTTTACTGAGATTATATTTCATCCCAGTTGATTAATGTTTCAAATAATCACCTTCATTTCACTCCATATTACCATTTTTTATAAAAATATAAATACAAATTAAAATAAGACATGACTTAAAGGTCTCAGTTACCAGGTCATAAAATCCCTTAAAAAAATCATGAGATGCAGCGCGCATCCTATAAATCTACGACGTACGAATTCGCCATATTTAAAAACTATTTTCAACTTATTAGTTCGGCTACCTATAAAACAAGTTATTTTATATTTAAACCAGTAGGTATTCATTATTCCTTTTTAGTGTTTTTTTACAAACTCAAATTATATAGTGGCTGGAAGACTCCAATCGGAAATAAATATTTCGAAAACAAAATCAACTTTATTATATTATTGTGTCATCGGTCCTTCATGATTCTATAAGGTTTTTATATAATTTGTCGTTTTGAAGAGCGTGAAAAACGCGTTCAAAGATTCCGTTAGGTACATATATTGTATGTATGTACGAGTGAATCTAATAGTAGCGTACCCAATAAACACTATTTCCAAAAATATGTATTTGTCGGAGACCGTCATTAGTTTGGTAGCTAAACGAAACGCAGCACGATTCCCGAGAGGTGGCAGCATGATTGCGGTATCGTCGGAACTCGGCTAACTTCGTGCTACGACAGAACTTAGCCGATGGAGGCGCGTAGACGCCATCACACTTATTAACCAGCCTTCTTGAAGAGCGGTGCC